ATAAGAGCAAACAGGCCCTATTTTTCCTGATTTTAAGAGAATACTAATTATGTTTTGTCATTTAAGAATGACAGGTTTTTGACAGATAATTTTTGTCAGGATATCTTGTCAGTTTTAATGAATAGCCTTTATCAAGATAAAGAATTTTGCTAATAGTGACATCATATTAAAATTATGAATAAGTGTTGAGTTTTATCAAATGCTGGATAATCATGTGGTTAACTGTTGATCTAACAAATTATCTTAATATAAGCCTGTTCTTGTCTTCCTTTTGCTAAGGTCAACATCCCTTTGCTGGGACCTAATTCTACTCAAATACCTTATGTATTTTCTTATGCAATACACTAGGTATCTTTGCATTATCCTTTCTGAGTAAATGAGCTAAACAAGAACTTGCATAGGGTCTTCATAGGGGCAGATAATTCATAAAATTAATTTTAAAAATTTTCAATAGCAATAGCTTTCCTCCTTAAAAAATGTGAACAACATGGAGACATAATGAAAAATGTGCACATTCACACTCCCCATTATAAAGCAGAAACATCATTGCCGAAGTCCATGGGTTTCCTTCCATTGACGGAGGTGGAAATGGAAGCACCTGTCAGAGTAGGTAAGTGAGAGAAGGAGAACCATGGAGACTAAAACATTCCTTTCAGAAGCAAAATGCAGTCTTCATGGTGAACTAGGGGATTAATATTAACGAAGAATATAAATTACTGTGGGGATAGGGGACCCCCTACCTGAGATGTGACCCTTAGGAAGAGTTTGACAAGGTCCCTGAAGGAGAGCAGGTGTCAGCTGCTCTCCGGAGCAGGCTGCTACTCGTCTACACCAGCATCACTTCCATTCTCCCTCCTTCCTGAGTGAATAACGATTGCTAGCTACCCACATTGCTGCTCAGAATAAAGATTACATTTTCCAGCCTCCCTTGCAGCTTAGTGTGGCCTTATTACTAAGTTCTAGCCAATAAGACTGATGTGAAAGTGTGGGAATTCTGGGAAAGCTCCCTAAAGGGAGCTGACTCAGAGTGGAGGAGCCTCATTTTCGCTCTTCTGCTTTTCCTTCTTTCTCTGGCCTGCAGTGTGGAAATGACAACTGCTCCACGAGCTGCCATTCTGGACCATAGGATGAGGATAGAGCAGCGATATCTGAGCCTAGGGGTCTAGTGATGCCTTAAACCCACTGTACCAGCCTTGGAATGCCTACTTTGGAACTTATTTTGTGTGGGATAGAAATAAACTTCTACTTGTGTAAGCCACATCTTTTGCTGTTCTATATAGCAGAACCCAATCCTAACGGACCCATCAGTTGTGAAAGTGTATAGCCCCGCCCTACCGCTCTTAAGCTATATTAAAAGAAAAGAACAAGCAATATACGATTTGCAAACTGGAACTTTGAGAGAAGGCCAACAGGTCTCAGATAGCTTGAGAATGGAGGCAAGGAGAATTCCCTCATGCTATCTTAGGATGAATAGATAGTCTAGATTCAAGAGACCTTCTGAAAATGAGAGTTAGTTTAAAAACAAAAAAGAATTGCAACTGTGCAAAGATAATACAACTCTTCCTCCTCCATCAGACACACAGAACAACAAGGAAGAAATGAGGGCACCAGTCCTGCAGGAAAAAAAGAGTAACGTAGCCTCAGAAGGACACTGTGCTTTTGAGGATTGCATAAAGAATAAGGAATCACTAAGAAAAGAAATCTAAGGCGACAGAATGTGATGAAATGGAGAATGCAAAGATACGGAAACAAATGGAGAACAAAAACGATACAATTATGGAATTATTAATCCATTCAAAAGAGTAAGGAACAACAAGGCTAAAAACAGAATTAGTCACTTAGAGAAAAACCTCTAGATAACTCAGTGAATGCACTGGAAAGAGACAAAAATGAGACAGAGAGAAGAGGTAAAAAGGCAGACAGTGCGAGCCAGCCCTGGGGCCTAGTGGTTAAGATCGGCGCACTCTGCTTTGGTGGCCTGGGCCCAGTTTTCGGGCATGAGCCTACACCACTTGTTTATCAGTGACCGTGCTGTGATGGCAGCTCACATGCGAAATAGAAGAAGATTGGCAACAGATGTTAGCTCAAGGGGAATCTTCCCCAGCAAAAAAAAAAAAAAAAAAAAAAAAAGGCAGACAATGTGATCCAAAAAGAAGGTAAGACAATGTGTCCTTATAGGCACTTGATTCTCCGGGGTCTCAGGGGTCCTTGTATGGTCAGGCATGAGTTCACCTTGTCTCAGGATGGCAAGCAGGCATCCTGCTCACATTAGGACATCCTAAATGCTCAGAGTGCCCTAGTGCAGCAGGAGGTGTTTCGAGGATCCGAAGAGGCCACATAGGGTCAGATGAGTCTGAAAGGTGAGAGTTGCAGAGTCTGGCAGACTTGGAGAGGCCTGGGGAGGCAGGGGTATTGAAGAGACAGAATGTCACAGGGGGCAGGGTGTTGTGGGCCTCATGACATTTTTATCATGTCAGAACATTCTTGAAGTGTCCTTATAACATCGCTAACTTCGAGGTCAGAGTGTCCTGGAAAACCAGACTGTTTTCCTAGAGTCAGGGTGTCTTGGGGCGTTGGGCTGACTGGGTGATCCAGAAACTTCGGGGAGTTCTGGGAGTCCAGAGCTGCCAGGGTTTTCAGGTAGGTCAGCATAACCTGTTGGTCTCTGAATGTGTGAAAATCAGGAATTCTAGGGAGATCAAAGTTTTCTGGAGATCTGGGGTCCTTGAAGGTTTGGATAGGCTTGAATGGACCTGTTATGGAGTAGAGTGTCAAGGTGTCCTTGTACAGTCCAAGTGCTCTCCAGAGGCAGAGGGTCCTGGAGGAGCAGAGGACGCTCGGCAGGGGTGAGAGTATCCAGGAAGTGAGGGTGCTTTGTCGGTTCAGGGGATGTCATGGAGTAAGAGTGTCTTGTAAGGGATGGTTTCCTTGAGAGACCAGGATTTCTTGAGGGTTAGAATAATCACTTTATGGATTCAGGGAGTCCTGGTGAGTCAAAGCCATTCTGGGCTGTCTGTGTGTTGGGGGTAGGGGGAGTGTGGCAGTGATTAGGCTGCCTGTTGAGAAATCCGGGGCTGAGTGAGTCAGAGTGCACCGGAAGGTCAGAGTTTCCCCACGTCAGATGTCCTGATGCGCCAGCATCCACAGGAGGGTCACGGTGCCTTGGGAGATCACGATATGTCTTTACTTGGTCCAGACGTCTTATGACTCAGGCCTGCATGATCAGGGCATCTCCTGGGATGGGGTTTGGGGGTTCAGTGGTTTTTCAGTATCAGTGAGCCCTTTGTAAGATTGGAACCAACCAGGGGCCCCAAACAGACCGGAGGACAGGCTGCCCTTGAGTGTCTGGATCCTGCCGGGTCAGGGATTTCCTTACAGGACCAAAGTTTCCCAAATCTCACCATGTCCCGTGAGTCTGGGTATCCTAGAGGGTCATGGAGTCATTGTGAGTTCAGGTGACCATGCTGACTGTAAGGTGGCGAAGTCAAAACTTCTTGGAGGGCCCACGAGTCCTAGAAAGTGAACGCGTCCCTTGTGCGCTAGGGATTCAGGATCAGAATGACCCTGAGGGCTGGGGTTTCCTGGGGACTTCAATAATAATAATGATGATAACAAAGTAACCTTTTCTCTTGTGCTTACTGTGTTCAAGGTGCAGTCCTAAATGCTTCTCTTTTCTTAACTCTCAGTCTTTACCACGCATCAGGTAGGTACAGCTGATCCTTATTATTTGTGAATTCCGTATTTGCGAATTCACCTACTCGCCCAAATTTATTTGTGACTCCAAAATCTATGTTCTTTGCAGTGCTCTTTGGCACCTCTGTGGTTAGCTGCAGCCACATGCGTGCACAGAGGGGAGAAAAATTTGATTTGCCGGGTTCCCAGCTGAGGTCAAACAGGGCAACTGTTCCTACTGTAGACATGTGTCCTCTTGCCGTCTATTTAGTGCCGCCATTTTTCACACTTTTGTGCCTTTGGGGGTAATTTTGCTGTTTCAAATGATCTCCAGGCGTAGTGCTGAAGTGCTGTGTGGTGTTCTTAAATGCAGGAAGGCCACGATGTGCCTTAACGGAGAAAATGTGCGCGTTAGATACGCTTCGTTCAAGCACAGTTATAGTGCTGTTGGCTGTGAGTTCAGTGTCAATGAATCAACAGTGTATGTTAAATAAGGTGTCTTTAAACAGAAACACACAACAAAGTTATGTATTAATTCATTGACAAAAACGTTGTGGCCAGAAACCCATTTCCCCTAGCAGCAATGGTTCAGTCTTCACTAACTCAGTGTTTATAGTGACTCTATGGAACATTACCTCAAATAAAGAGAATCAATCCCTGATGATAAGACTGAGGCACAGAGATATTAAGTAATGAGCCCAGGATCACACAGCTAGTAAGTGGTATAGCTGGGATTCGAACCCATGGCAGTCTGGCTCCGGAACCTATGCTCTTCCCCACCACACCATTCTGTTTCTTACAGAGTGGGAGGACCCTGGCTGTTAGGCTTCCTTGCTAGGTCAGGGGTGGGGGTGGGAATTAGGATGCCATGGAAGACGAAACGCCTCTAACCCTCCCAGCCTCCTGAAGGATCACAGTATTCTTCTTTGACTTGGGATGTCAAGTCAAACTTTGTAGTGTCTCAGTGCCCTCAGGGAACAGGAGTGGTGGGTCAGAGTTTCCTTGTAGTATCAGAATGCCTAGGGGCAAATCAGGCTGTCCTGGACGGCTGTCCAGAGTCCCCTTGTGGGGTTAGGGTATCTCGAGGCAGCAGAGCGTGTTGGAATTCAGGGTTTGTTTGTGGACCAAGCTGACCACTTGTTTCTGGGTCTGGGGAGGTCAGCCTGTCACGAGGCTCAGGTGGCTCTAGGAGGTCACAGTGTATTCTGGGGGAGGGGGGGTGGGTGTCTTGGGCCAGTGCCTCTTGACTTTAACATTGTTAGGGACTGGATGTTTGCGTCTCTCCCTTAGTCATGTGTCGAAGCCCTAACCCCAGTGTGATGGTGGTTGTTAGCGGGGCCCTTGGGAGGTGATTAGGGTTAGAGGAGATCATGGGGGGACAGTATGAGGGGATTGGCATCTTTATAAGAAGAGGAAGAGAGATCAGAGCTAGTTCTCTCTCCACCACATGAAGACTCAGAAGGCACTGTCTGCAGCCTGGGAGAAGAGCTCTTGCCAGGAGTTGAATCGGCTGGAACCTTGATCTTGGACTTCCCAGCTTCCAGAACTGTGAGAAATAAATGTCTATTGTTAAGCTGCCCAGCCTTCCGTATGTTGTTATGGCAGCCCAAGCTGACAAAGGCTAATGTACATTCTGTTCTCCCGGGGATCTCGTTACAGTGCAGATTCTGATGCAGTAGGACTGCGCTGGGGCCCAAGATTCTACAATTCCAACAAGCTTTCATGCGCCACTGATGCTGCTGATCCATAGACCATATTATTAGCATCAAGATCCTAGGGGATTATGATGTTTTTCTGTCTTAAATTATCAGGTTGCTTTTAAAGGAAGTGTGTGAAGGGTTAGTGTGACCTAGGAGACCAGAAAGCCCTGTGGGTACAGTGTTCCACAGGGCTTAGGGTGTCCTCGTTGCGTCTGTATGTCCTGAGAGGTCAGAACTTCATGGCTGGGGCTAGGGGCATCTCCTAGTAGAGGTGGAGTGTTCTGGGTTTCAGTAGGTACTAGAGGATCCTAGAGTCCTGGGGTATCAGGTTGCCTTTAAAGGGTCAGGATGTCCTAGGGATGTCAGAATGTACTTCCTGGATCTAAGTAACCTCAAGAAGCAGAGGACTGTGGGCACCAGGGTGACCTGACTGCTCAGGGATTCAGTGTGTCAGAGTTTCCTTGAAGAATCGGAATGTCAGGATGTCATGGGAAACTCAGTCTCCTGCAGAGTCTCGAGGTCGGGGGGGTCAGGGTGCACCTCGAATGTAGATGCGCTTGAAGATCAGGGTTTTCTGAAGATCTGGGTGACCTTGGAAGGTCATGGAGTGCTAGAGGTTCTGGATGAAGGATGACGTGATGCTTGGGGGAGGAAAGCAGAGGGTACTTGAGAACAACAGTGTCCTGGAGACTCATCCTACGGTTCAGCTTGTCCTGAGGGGATGTCGAGTGTATTCTGAGAATTGGGGTATCAGGAGGAGCCAGAATGCACCTGTGCCTTTGAGTTTTTTAGTTTCCTGGAAACAGGTCCTTGGGTATCACCCACACACTGAGATGCCAAGCAGGCTCTACTCCTGGACCCCATTTGCACCCCCTCTCTCCCTCCCCCAATGGTGGGGTTCTGAGGAGGGGTCTTGGGAGGAATGCAGTTTCTCCTCCTTCCCCTGCCTGCTCCCAGGAGGGGATTTAACAGGACAAAAGAATTTGGCCCTCTGGGAACACGAGCTCTTGGCCCCAGTCCCTGGACCCTCCAACAGAGCACCTTCCCTCATCCGGCTTGTGAGCCTCCCCTGAGGAAGGGGCTCCGGGGAGCGGGCAGTGATTGGATGGGCCCACGAGGGCGAGGAGGAGGCCACTCCGCCCAGGCTCAGGGAGAAAGAGGTGGTGCGAGATTGCAGGCTGGGCAAGGAGGCAGCTGAGGGCAAAGGGGGAGAACGCATCCTGGGGAGAAGGGGCAGGAGGAGAAAAGTAGAGACAAACACAGAAAGAGCGGGAGGGCAAGACAGAGAGAATGAGAGGACACTCAGTTGAAGGAATGAGAGTTAGGAAGAAGGAATGAGAGTGCAAGACAGAGTTCTCTATCTCCATCTATGCAGAGAGAGACTCTCGGAGCCGTGTGAGCAGAGGGAGAGGGCGCGAGGCAACAGGCAGAGAGGGGAACAGAAACAGAATCAGAGTCTCGGGCACACGGGAGGCTGGACTGTCCTTGGTCTTTGTTGTTAGCCATGGAAACGGAAGGTAGGAGTGGGCAGGGTAGGCAAAAGAGGGGGCGAGTTTGCAGCAGCCTCTGGCCCGAGAGCTACCCAGCCGCTGGGACTGTGACCTCCACGGTGGGTGAGTGACCCTCTGGGGTGGGCCTGAGGAGTCTCTGTGCCCAGGCTCCTGTGGGGCAACGGTTCCGCGAGGAAGGTGAAGAGAAGTGAGAACCGGGATCCTAGCATGTTAAACCGTGGGAGCCTTAGAAAGTCAGGGTGCTTACGACGCCTTTGCTTTACACACAGGAACTGCAGTACTGGCGCTGGCGGGCTGTGGGGGGCACACCTGCTGAGGCAGAGGCAGAGCTGACATCTGTCTCCTTGCTCCTGGCCAGCAGCTCGCCCACTGCCCTGCCTTCTCTGAGGGAGGGAGCTGGAGGGGCTAGGGCTTAGGATCTGAGGACAGCAGGGGACCCACTGCTCGCTCAACGCATGTGTCTCCAAGGTGGACAGTGAGCACTGGTGGGGGCCACACCCCTGGGTCCCCATGGGGATGGGTGCCTCAGCTCCAGACATCCCCTTCTCTCAGTGTGTGCCTTCCAGGTGTTTCCTTTCCCTCCCTGTTCTCTTCCCCGCCTGGCTCTCAGACTAATTAGTGTGGGGCTTAGCGAGCCTGTGGGGAAGAGAGGCAAGCCTTTCCCACGAGCTCAGGTTCCTGCAGCCCGGTGGCCAGGCCAGGGCTCAGATAGGGGAGAAGACGAAATGTATGTGAGGGGAGGGTGTGTCTGAGCGGAAGAGGGGACTGTCTCATCCTCCCCAGTGAAGGGTTTAGGAACAGGGCAGCCACGTAAAGGAGGTGTAAGTTGAATGTGAGCCGTGAGACCAGGGAACAAGTCACGGGGGTCTTAGAGACCTGGACAGTTTGTTAGGGGGCAGAGGAAACAGGATATCCACAGGGTGAGACCCTGGAGGGTAGTATGTATGCTCGGGGAGGTGAAAGGAACAAGGAGGGGTACGTTATCTGCGGAAGTGTAATAGAAGGGGGCCTACAGTGGAGATGCGAGGCAGATGGAGCCGAGGGCCCAGGAGGTAAACTGAGTCTGAGGGGTGTACCCTATGTGGAGGGCACAGCCTGGGTTGGGGGACTCAGGTGAGGCAGGGCTGAGGCTGAGCTGGTCCAGCCAGTTTTGAAAGCTGAAGGATTTCTGGGCAGGCAGAGTATGTGAGCAGCACGGGGGGCATGAGTAGAATCTGGGGGGACCAGCATACGTGGTCTAGGGAGGGATGGGTGGGTCCACTTGGCAGCAACCTCTCCCCCCCCCCCACCCCACTCCTCAGACATGAGCACTCGGCCCTGCAGGAACCTCTCTGGTATAGGAGGGGGGAGACCAAGGCTTTCCCCGCAAGGAGGACAGAGGGGTCGCCCGCACTCCCGGCGCCGCCACCGCACCACCTTCAGCCCAGCACAGCTGGGACAGCTGGAGTCAGCCTTTGGAAGGAACCAGTACCCCGACATTTGGGCCCGAGAGGGCCTTGCGCGGGACACAGGCCTCAGCGAGGCCAGAATCCAGGTGATGCCCCAAGATCGCCCCTTCCTCTGGGAAGAAATGCGGATTCAGTGCTTGGGAACCACTGGGGCATAGGTTCTCCAGGGCATTGTGACCTTAACCTAGATGCTCACCAGAACATAGCCCGTCCACCAGTCAACGTGACTGCATCTGCAGCGGCCTCCTCTGCATCAGGAATGTCCCGGGAGGTTAACCCTAGCTCTAACCTCAGCTAACTGGAACTCCACACCTACCCCAGCCTTAATAGTGATGCGACTTCCAACAGAAACTCAATTCCAACCGTTCACAGATGTATGTAACCTTGTCCCTAATCATGGCCTGGAAACCAAACCAGCCTGATGCTCCCTCAATCCCAACCCTAGAGTTCATTAATCTTAAGTATAGACCCTACTCTAAATCCAGCCGTGTGTGTAACAATCAAACTCGTGCAGTCTTAACCTCTAACGACCCTAGGGGAAATTTCCCCTTCTCTGAGGAGGGAAAACGCCATGTGTCATATTTATCTCTTTCTGTTGGAAGTTGACAATTCTTACCCAAAGTTGGAGAAGTTGGGCACATTTAGATGCAGATTGGGGTAATAGCATGGGTCTCCCTTTGTCAGTAGGTTGGGCTCAGCCAGGCCTCTGGAACTGCTTTTCTTCCTGTGGCCATGTGGGAGAGGCCTATGCCCTGTACCTGTTGCTTCTGTCACTGGGGGAGGAGGTCGCATGTGACGATGCACCTACGTGAGACAGGGGCTCTGATGTGCCTATTCTCCCTGCTCCTCAGGTCTGGTTCCAGAACCGCAGAGCTAAGCAGCGGAAGCAAGAGCGGTCACTGCTCCAGCCACTGGCCCATCTGTCTCCTGCCACCTTCTCTGGTTTCTTGCCAGACTCCCCTGCTTGTCCCTACTCCTACCCAACACCACCTCCACCGGTGACCTGCTTCCCTCACCCCTACAACCATGCCCTTCCTCCTCAGCCCTCCACAGCTGGTTCCTTTGCTCGACCCCACCAGTCTGAAGACTGGTACCCCACCTTGCACCCAAACCCCGCTGGTCATCTGCCCTGCCCTCCACCCCCACCCATGCTCTCCCTCAGCCTTGAGCCACCAAAGTCCTGGAACTAAGGTCAAACAAATGCTGATAAGGTAATTCCTCAGCCTGTGGCCCTCGTGAAACACAGAGAAAACTGGGTGGCTCCCTTTCTAAGGGTGAAGTAGAAATATGGTGGGGGCCAGCTCAGACATTGGGAATTTAAGAATGGGAGTCCATGATGAAGGCTCACTCAGGTGATTAACGGAGAGAATTTGGGAAGGTGAGCTAATGGAACATACATGTTGAAACACATCCACGGAGGAGGCCGGTGGAAGGGTGGTACTAACGGAAGCAACTGTGGTGGCTGGTGCATGGAAAACGGTTGAGGGAGGCGGGGCGTGCAGGGCTTCATTCATTGAGATCATGGCTGGAGATCTCCATCCCAGCGGTTTCAGGCTGATTTCAATAAGGCTTCTGATGTAAAGTCTCCATGTACATCCGTCCTGTCTCCCCGCTGCTACCCAGGTCAGTCATTAGCTTCTGCTCATCCTGTGATTCTTCCTCTCCTTTCCATCCCAGCAGACGCTTTTCTGGCCCCATATTTTCTAACTAATCCTCCTCATTAGTTCCCTTAGCTCCAGCCTTTCCCAGTCCCAGTGGACCCTGCAAATCTGATCAGCAAAGAATGGCTCTCCAAAGTCTTATAAAAAATGAATAAGTAAGATCTGATTAGCTTGACCTGTAAGAGTCTCCAACATTACCTTCAACCTGGCTGTTATTCAGTTGACTGTATGTTTTAACATACGTGGTTTCTGATAAAAAAGAAACACTTCGATTTAGGGCAGACTTTCCAAGAGCAAACCACAAGTCTTGAGGCTCATGAGAGGGAATTTCCAGAAAAGAACCTGCTGTGAGGCGCCTTGGTCGAAGCCTTACTAACAGAAACATGTGTGGCCTAGTTGGTGGCACCATTTTTGTATCATATTGCTTATGATGTACTTATTTTACTCATTTACTTATTTGTATATAGGCCTACCTCACTGAGTGGCAGGTCCATAGCAGAATTCTGAGTAAACAAGCCTCTAGTGATGGATGCTCACGTTGTTTGCAGTTTTTTAATATGTAGTATTAGAAAGTCTGTAATTGAAACCTCTATATTACACATTTGCACTCCCATCTAATTATCTCCTTGGGCCGGACTGCCTTCCAGAAAGACGACACCAGTTCACATGCCCCCAAAGTACCTAAGTGTCAGTTTCGGCACATCCTTGTTGACCTTTACTATTTTTCACAATTTGTTAACTGAGTAATGCCTCCTTGTTGCTTATTTTTAAATTTTCATTTAATCAATTGCTAGTGAGATTTAAAATAGTTTCATGTTTATTGGCAATTTACCTTTTTCCTTTTGTGCACTGCCCCTCTGCGCTGTGTGTGCCTTTCTGTACCGCTACAGTCACCCTTGATTAGCGCCTGAGACTTCTCTGTGTATTAGGGACGTCACTACCTGTTCTACACGTTGCAACTATTTTCAACATTTGTTATTTGTTTTTGAGCCTATGTCAACAAGAGTTTCCTGAGAGAATTAAGCCCTAACGCTGTAGGTACCGATTGTATGTAAGGAATTCACTTCTATTTTACGCCTCTAGAATGGTACCAGTTACACAGAATTGGCAGACTTGGGAAAGCAGTCACTCAAACCATTTTCTGTAGTTTGGATGAGGAACCCCAGGTGAGAAATCTCCCTTTGTTGTTACTGCTTTCACCCATGTTTTCTTCATTAGTTGGATCAAAATGTCATGCCTTGAATCAGCTGAAATTTATTTTGGGATGAGCAGTAAAATAGTCATAGAACTGCCCCTCAATCACCTAGCTAGTTCCTACAATATAATTCATTTAATAGTCTCACTTTGCCCCATTCTTTTGTAAAATCATATTTTTTCATACACTAAGTCCTCATATATACACAGGACAATTGTAGACTCCTAATTCTTTTCTGTCAATAAGCTTCTCTATTCTGATACTAGTACCACAGTGTTTTAATTATCAAAAATTTAAAGATTATTGCTCTTTAAAATGTTAAATTCTCTCAACCAAACACAAGATGTGTCCTGTCATTTTTTCCAGACTGTCTCATGTCTCTCAAGAAAGTTCTCTTTTTATGAAACAAATCTTAAGAGTTTTTAAATTACAAAAGTAATACATGCTCTTTATAACAAGTCAACTCAAAAGAAAAAGATTTTATACATATACAACTTACACATATAATATACAAATATATATTATATATGCATATAAATATATATGATATATATTAAAATATATATTATATACATATATGTACATATATATATATTAACCTGGATTAAACACAAAAACCTCATGTTGAGCAAAATTTTTCTGAAAAACATCTTCAATATATCATACTATTTATATAAAGTTTTAAAATATGCAAAATAACTTCTAGATGATAAAAAATTTAAATATACATACTTTTGCATATTATATGTTTGAATATATATGTTCAAGTCCAACTGCACAGGACTGATCAGCAGCCGTTTCGGAGAGAGAAAGCACACAGTGACCCAGGAGGGGCCCACAGGGGTACTCAATTCTTCTGGGGTACATTTGTATTTGTTATAGTAGTTAGTCCTAACACTTTTTCGAATGTCTCAGATATTTCATAATAAGTGTTTAAGGTAATGATCTTGTCCATTGAGCCCTCTCCAACTTGGTATCATGAGATAAACGACAGCAATAGTGTATCTCTGTCCACAATTATTTATGCTCAGAGAAAAGTATACAAATATACACACTAATGTTTTTTCCTTTTTTAAAATAAAATGGCATCCTACTATATATATTATATATAAGGAGTATATATATACTCCTTAATGTCTTTTGTAGAATTAGAACCTATGAACACCTTTCAAGTGGATTATATAGATTTTACTGTTTCATTGCCGTTAAGTGGCAGTTCCATGAGCCACACAACCGTTTCCCATTATTCAAGAGTCAAAGCTGGTTTCGTATTTTGCTTTGTTTTACCACCATAAATGCCACTATAGTTGTTTTGTTATAGGATAATTCTCAAAAAAACCCAAAAAGGATAAAACCACAATTCTTTCATAGAGTGTAAAATAAACACGTACTAATGATTTAACTCATTATTAATGAGGCCATAAAAAAGATGTCAAAACCAGTTCAAAGGACGATCTAAAGAACAGACACACGTGTAGATGAGGAACAGTGAAATGAATGTGTAAATAGAGGCAAAATTGGCTTCTTTCAGTGGGGGAGAGAAGTCAATTGAACCTTGGGGGGTGGGGCAGGACTCATTTACATGTCTACAGACAAGAATTACTTCGCTTTGCTATCAGTTATCTACAACTCACAGAATTGCGGAATAGCTCAACGGCAAAGAAAGCCTCAGAGCCCCCAAAGAACCAAAATCCAATAAGCCAGAAAGGTGGGCCCTCGACCAGCCGCGGTTCCCGGTTGAAGAGCGTTTGCCCCGCAGCTTCTCCCGGGCAGGTGCTTTTCCTCCCGCTGCACACGTCCCCAGCGGGGGGTGCTGCCTTCAGGGTTATGTGCAGTGACAACTGTAAGAGACACTGCCTGATTAGTTTGCCAAAATGTGTAGCTTAGGAATGCTGTCCCGTTTAAAAACTATGTTTTAAAAAAGCCTAGAAAAACTCCCCCCTTGTATTTCTTCCGTGGTTTGGATGTTTTTTCTGTCTGCAATAACTCACGAGCCTATTTCTGCACATGCTGAGCACCAGAGGACTGTCTCGTAGACGATGCTCAAGTACTCGACCAGCACCACTAAACGAACCACCGTTCTCACATCGAACCAAGCTGCTGCCTTTAGCACATATCGTCAATTAAATTCCCATGGGTTTAAACGTGTCCTCGGTTCTCTATTCGGGGGCTGGTTCTTTCATCAGCTTTTCAGGCTCACGCAGGCCGGCCCCCACCCCGGGTCTCCCTGCCCTCCTCACACCCGGCCCGGCGCCGGGCTGGGAAGGGCTGCAGATGGGCGGTCAAGTTCTCTGGCCCTTGGCTCGCGCCTGCCCTAGCCCGTCCCAGCCTCCTCTCCCGCGCCAGAGCCTCAGAGGGCTCCCGGGGAGGGCAGGGGCGGGAGCGCAGGAAAGCTGGGCTGCTCCCGCGGTACCGGCTCCTCCTCGCCGCCCGCCCGCGGGGGCCGTGGCGCCTCCGGAGCCCGGGACTGACGCGGGGATGAAGCCTTCGGGGTTAGCAAGGCCTCACGGCGGCCCGGCCTTCTGAGAAAGCCAGGAGGCAGGGCAGGGCGCAGCTCGACTCTTCGGGCTCCTGTGTCCTGCCTTCTGGGGAGAAGAGATACTCGAAGTTAAAACTGGCAGCGGGTTGGAATCTTTGCCCCAGTTGGGATTAAAAAAATGAAAAAGAACTTCCTGCAAGCAGCAACATACCCTCCTCATCCCCGCCAACCAAAGGGCAAACGCAGCCACGCGAGGGTCAGCAAGGCTCGCGTCAGCAAGGCACGCGTTCGTCTTTGCCTGGGACTTGGAGCCCGAAACGGGCGTGCAGGGCGCGGAAGGGCAGGAGCTCCGGGGGGCCCGGCCGGGCGCACAGCTCCCGGGGACCGAGCGACCTGGGGGCGGCCGCGGCTGGACGCCGGGAGGGGGCCGCCGGCGCGCTTCTGCGCGAGCCCGGCCGCGGCGAGCACCGCGGGACGGGACGCGACTTAACCACCAGGCCTAAGAACGCGGAGGCTTTAAAAGCATTCCGCTCCCGTGAGAAACCCCGAATGCCAGCAGCATTCCATCGAGGGACTGGCTGGAACCCGCAGGGGACGCTCCCGGACTCCTGGACTGAGGGCGGTCGGGGCCCTTTCCGGCTCTACCAGCCTCACCTCCCCCGGAGCTCGACGGCCGCGTGTTTCTCTTCGCTTCAGATTCTTCTCGGTCCCGGAGTCTGGCTCTTCGCTGACCCGCGGGCTGTCTGTCCAATGCAAACTGCACCCGGCCGCCCTGCAGGATGCAAAGGGACTTGGTCCGTCCCGGCTGAGCTCGCCAGGCCTGGAGCTCGCCGCCTCCGCAACCTGGTCTGCGCATCACGCATGACCTCGGGGTCTTGAGAAGAGTCCTTCCCCGCCGTCTTGGGTTTTCCTCTCGAACTGGGGCTCCCGGCTCCCAAGATTGGCAAGAGGACACGTGAAGGCCTGTACCACGAGAGACCTCTCCAGTTCGGGTATGTAAGCAGAATGCACGTCCAGGCGCCGTCTACACCGCCCACCTGCGCAAACAGCGCCCCCCTTGGCTCTCTGGGGACCAAGGCTCAGCTTGCTCTGGGGAGGATGGAACCGGGGAATAAGTCTTGCAGACCCTGGAAGCGGGATCAGTGCCATTCCGGCAGGGAATCATGGTACCGGGACCTAAGTATGACACCTATGTGGGACAAGGGCTGGAGCTCCCGGGGGCAAGTACCCTGGACCCCGAAAACTTCTCACGGGTGGAGACAGTGGCAGCTGCCGGGTCGGAGCAGGGCCCTGGTGCCAGGCTCTAACACTACACTGGGTGGGTTTCCCTGCAGGGGCCTATCCCAACAAATCTTCCCGCTATTTTCCAGGTTTTCCCAAATTTCTCCGGAATTGAAATGTCTACTGTCTCTTTTCCACGGTAGAAGCAAAAGCTGGACCCAAAGTCCCAGGAACAAGAAGGGCTCAGAGACTCCGCCTCTTTTGAGTTTGGGCAATTAAGGCTGGCGTTTTCCAAGCTCCTGCTGCACTGAGCTCCCTTCTCCTCTCCTTCGGACCTGCCTCACTCATATTCACCCCCTCCACACTCGGTGTCTAAATGTCCAGGGGGTCCTTTACTACTTTCCTGGCACCCAAATAATAAGCCCAAGGTGGGATGGGGCAGGGGTCAGCCCCACCGCAGGTGTGTGTGTCTTTGGGGGCTGCAGAGTCGGGAGAGGCCTAGGAAGCCGCATGGCCAAGGCTCTGGGGCTCAGGGTACTCAAGTTGTTTGCAGGACTCCTGGGCCCTCCTGAGCCCTGGCCTCTCTGGACCAGCAAACGGGGCCTGGGGAGCTGGTGCAGGGCACCTCAGCTAGCAACCAGAACACCTCTGGGAGGTTCCAGCATCTTCTAGGGTGAGGCGGGCCCATGTGCCTCAAAGTAAGGAAGACACTAGACTCCTCAGGAACTCAGGCCTGGGGCCTAAGCCTGGCCAGGTGAGGGAGGTGGGGGGGGCAGCATGGGTGTTGACAGCTCCCACTCCACCAGATAGGCTCTTGGGTCACAGGGACAGGAACAGCAAGGTCAAAGAAGTCCGGTCCTCTTGCCCATCTCCAGAGGATGGAACTGAGCCCTGATCAAGCCACCTGCCCAGTCCCCAAGCCCTCCTCTCCCACCGCCCGTCCACTGGTTAAGTGTGTCTGCTTTTCGTTGGGCTCCTCACGTATCGCAGCCAGACTTCTCATTCTCCCAGAACTCCGTGCGAACATTTGTCGGGCCCCTGCCTAGAGCCCAGATGGCGGTCAGATGCTGCAGACTCACCTGGAATCCAAGAAATTCCTGCCGACGCTGGACAGACCGGGACAGGGGACCCGTGTGAACCCAGCCTCTGTCGTCGGTGCGAACGGCAGACAGAGGAAGAAAGGAAGGCTCCGAGAGGGGACACGCCTTCCTCTTCGGAGACCACGTCCCCGCTCTGCTGCGGCACCTGCAGACGCTGCCCCGGGGGCGGGGGGGCAGGGGAGGAGAGGGGGAAATGCGAGGGTCGCGGGAGCGCCTGCTCCCGACAGGCACCCGCAGAAGCCCTCGGGACGCAGAAGCCCTGGGGACACGCGGGCCGCCTGGCCTGGCGGGGCTTCGTTCGAGCGCTCGCCTCCCGCGGCGGCCACTCTGGGGATCTGCCTGCTTTTCTGGCCATCTTCTGGCTAAGCTGGGTGCCCCATCCCGGTTTCGGTATCCCAGCCTGGGGGCGGGGGTGTCAACAGCAGACGCGCGAGAGAACCCTTCTAGCAGCTGGGCCTCCGCCGCGGTCCAGGGTGGGGCTCCGGGCGCCCCGAGTCCCGCCTGCGCAAAGCCTTTAAATCAAGGAGCCGCGGGCCGCGCAGGCACTTCCCGGCTCCTTCGCGCTCCGAGGCTGTGCAGGGCTCCCAGACACCCCTTCCCGCCATCCGGGGCCCCCGGCACAGCGGGGCGTCCTGCGCTGGGGACCGAGGGCGGG